CTCTGCTGTTTATAATGTTGAATTTCTGTAAAATAAACTGTATTTGCAAATCCAACATTGAGCTTCTGGACTACGCTAACTCCACTGCTGAATCCTCCATGGAAAGGGTCGGCCGCTTGCAGTTGAAACGATCCGGAAATGTAGCCCGTGTCCTTTAAGTCAGCTGACTTGTCGCACATCTCTGTAAGACGTGTATGGTACTGGCAGAAAAGTCGTTTTTTTAAAAGCCATAGATAGGCTTTTCCTCGTCCTTAGCTGTAATAGCACATCTGATTTTGGTTTCCTCAAGAGCTGTGTTTCTGTCTGTCACCTGTGTACTGCCCCCCACCCCTGTGTTTACCACCCTGGCCCTTGTCACTCCTGCTCCCCTGGTCTTTGGAGTTGTGCCACGGATCTGAAATGGATGTATTCTCTTGAGAACAAATAAGATTGTTAGAATTAAATCCCAGCTATCCAGTTTTCTAACATAGCTCTAAGGTCCTCATTGCTGTTTGTGATGACTGATAGATAACTCACTGAGAACATGTGCATACATTTATATTCAGATGAAATTATGGTTTGCACTGTCTATTAAATATCTCGATTTAATTTTCACACTTGCTGTTGTGTTCAGTCAATCTCTCCCCTCCCTTGGGAACCGACCCTCTCCCGTCCAGCTCTGGTCCAGGGTCACTGGGGAAACATGAAGGACTTTTGAAGAGCAGCTTCCTTCTTCCTACAAACTTCCAGCTTCTGGAGGCCACTGAGCTGTGGCCACTACTTAACCTGGGGACCTCTGGGTCTATACTTAGTGAGTTGATTCTTGTGCAGCCCCAGAATCTTCCATCCTTGCCTGTCAACACCTAGGGAAGTGCCTCTGGGAGCCTCTGCCTGGTGGAAACCACGGTGCCACCATGATACAAGGCCCAGCCAGGCAGCGTGTTTCATAGTAGGGAAGTGTATTGGGTAGGGACTGAGGACTGAGGGCACAAATGCTCCTTTGGGGTCTGCCCAGTCTGTTTCTCTTTGGCCCAACACTTCCATTCTGCACTTTATTCTTGTGCCCTCTTTAGAAACTGATGGATGCTTTGGACCCTTGTATCCAGCTAAGTAGATCTCCACATACGTTTGTCCCTCCTGCATGTCTCAGGATTGAGTAGTCACCCCCATCCCCCTAGCTTCTTTTTTTTGTTGGGGGGGAGAGGTTTTGAGACAGGGTTTCTCTGTGGCTTTGGAGGCTGTCCTAGAACTAGCTCTTGTAGACCAGGCTGGTCTCGAACTCACAGAGATCCACCTGCTTCTGCCTCCCAAGTGTTGGGATTAAAGATGTGTGCCACCAACACCTGGCCCCCCTTAGCCTCTTAAGGTTAAAAGCAATCTGAGTTCACAGTGGGATATTGTCATGCTGGCAGTATCCCCAGAGCAAGCTGCCTATGTTCCTGTCTTTCACACTGTTCTGTTTGCTGCGAAGAGACACATGGCAACTTTTAAACGTTTGCTGGGGCCTTGCTTACAGTTTCATAGTGGGAGTCCATGACCATTGTGGCACTGTGCTGGAGCCGTAGCTGAGAGCTCACATCTTTGCAAGTTGAAAGCAGAGAGAGACTGAGCATGGCAAGGGCTTTGGAAACCTCAGAGCCCACCCCCAGGGGCACACCTCCTCCAAGGCCACACCTCCTAATCCTTCCCAAAACAGTTCCACCAACTAGGGACCAAGCACTCAAACACAGGAGTTGATGGGGGCCCCTCTCATTCAAACCCCACAGCTCCCTGGGTCTCATATTCTCCTTTGCTTGTGGGAAGCTGTTCATGCCCTGCTCCGTATCCCCCATGACTGCTACACTCAAAATTGGGACTTGATGATGGGGTTGAAAATTCCTGGCTTGGGAGAGATGGGGCTTGGCTGATGTCACAAGTTATGTACACCTCATGAAGAATTTAGTGGTAGCACTCGCTGGCATCCTTCTGTTTGCTTCTAGGCACCCTTTGGTGTGAGATTGCCGGAGTGGCCTGTCTTGAGTCTTACCAGCTGCCTTGCACTCTCTCCCTAGGACTGAGTGAGTAGAGCTGCCAGATCCCCCTCAGCTCTGACAGGCAAAGAGATCAATCCAGGCCAGTATCACACACCTTGAACCTGGGACTGTGGGGCACAGGGCTCACCAGTGCCCAGACCCTTTTCTGTCCTTAGGAAGGTCTCAGACCTTGTGAGACATAACTATGTCTCACATAGCCGTTTTCTTTGGATACAAGCAACAGAAGACTCAACCAACACATAGACACGACACTCACTTATTCTAAATTTATTCAGGTATTTTTTGATCACCTACTATGAGCAGGCACTGAGAATACATGCAACAGAGTCCATGCCCTTGTGCTGTTTGCAGGCTGGTCTCCGAGGGACAGGACATCTCAGCCGCAGTGCTGGGGTTCTGGGTTTGAAGTGGTGCTCAGCAACCTTCTCAAGAGCAAAGCTCTTGCTGGTGTGATGGTACACAGCTAATTCCAGCACCAAGGAGGCTGATGTTGGAAGGATCACAATTCAAGGCTAACTTGTATGTAGTAGTGAGACTGTCTCAAAATACAACCAGCCAAGATGTGGTGTACTCAGGAGACAGAGACAGGAGAATCCCTATGAATTCAAGGCCATCCTGATCTATATAGGTAGTTCCAGGACAGCCAGGGCTTCGTAGAGAGACCCACTCTGTTGATAAACAACAAGAGTTGGGGAGATAGTTCAGTGGTTAAGAGCACTTGCTTCGTGTGCTGGGCATTGGTGGCACTCCCAGCACTTGGGAGGCAGAGGCAGAAGGATCTGTGTGAGTTCGAGGCCAACCTGGTATCCAGAGTGAGTGCCAGGATAGGCTCCAAAGCTACACAGAGAAACCCTGTCTCGAAAAACCAGAGGACCCAGGTTTGATCCCCAGCACCCACATGGCAGATCACAACTGTCTGTTACTCCAGTTCCATACAGACATACATGCAAGCAGAACACCAGTACACATAAATAAAAATAAAAATCAACAAAAATGCTTCCTGCTCTGCCTAGGCACATGGGCCTTTTCCTTAGGCTACTACTATGTCTCCTGGGCCATGACTATTACATGGCTGAAAATGGAGGTTTCTGTTCCACCCACAGCTGCTGTGCTCCAAATAAACACATGGACACTGTATTAATTATAAAACTGTTGGCCATGGGCTGGAGAGATGGTTCAGAGGTTAAGGGCACTGGCTGCTCTTCCAGAGGTCTTGAGTTCAATTCCCAGCAACCATATGGTGGCTCACAACCATCTGTAATGAAATCTGGTGCCCTCTTCTGGTGTGCAGGCATACGTGGAGGCAGAATGTTGTATATATAATAAAGAAATAAAATCTTAAAAAAAATTGTTGGCCAATGGCTAGGGCTTCTTATTGGCTAGCTCTGTCTTAATTATTAACCCATAACTACTAATCTATGTATTTCTACATAGCCTTATCTTACCAGAGAGCCATGTCCTATCTTCCCAGTTTCTACATGGCATCCCTCCTGCAACTTCCCTCTGCTTTCCTTTTCCCAGCCTTCTCCTGGTCTGGTCACCCCGCCTATGCTACCTGCCTGACTATTGGCCAAACAGTGTTTTTTGTTCATCAACCAATAAGAGAAGCATACATGCAGAAGGACATCCCCATCAGATGGCTGGTTCCAGAGTCTACTAGGATTCCCCTTAAGGCTGGAGATGGGCTCTCCGGTCCCAGAGTGTTTTACCGTCTGCCCCTTCAGAGCCTAGAGAAGCTGGGGCAAAGTGGCGCACATCTTTTATCTCAGCCCTAGGAGGCAGAGACAGGCAGATTTCTGAGTTCAAGGTCAACCTGCCTCATCTGTGTAGACAAAACTTGGCTTCTGTTACCAGGAGGAAGCAGCTCATTGCCAAGCAGGCAACCAGAAATTCGGACACCAAAAATCAGCCACATGGCTAATATGGATTTAAAATGTTTTAATGGTTATTTTATGTGTATGAGCGTTTTGCTTACGCGTGTACCAGGTGCCTGAGAAGGGCAAAGGAGAGTGTCAGATTCCCAAGAACTGAAGTTAGAGAAGGTTGTGGGCTACAAGTGGGTGCTGGGAATCAAACCTGGGTCCTCTGGAAGAGCAGCCAATGCTGCCTTCTCAGCCCCTAAAAGCAGATGGAGTCAAGACACTTTTGCAAATCTCTCAATCCCTCCAGATTCCAGTTCTTAAGAGCCCCAGAATAGCTGAGTATTTAATCTTAGGAGGCAGAGGTGGTGGGATCTGTCAGTTGGAGGCCAGACCACCCTTGTCTATAGGGTTCCAGGCCAACCAGGGCTACAGACTGAGAACCTGTCAAAAACAAAACCCCAGAACAGGGTGGGGGATCTGAGACTTCAGTTTAGCAAAGTTCTTGGTAACTATCGGGACCTGTACTTAACTCCAGAAGGCTTAAATCCTCAGGAAAGCATATGTGGTCACTTTGTGACCTGGCTCCATGCTCATCTTCCAGCTACTGTTACCCACAATTCCTGGAATGGGAGTTCTAGTAGCCCTTGGGCCTTGCCTCCCACTCCTGGACACAGCCCTCTTCTCTCCCTCTCCCCTCTCTCAGGTGTGTGTGAGTACCTTGCTCACTATAAGCCCAACCCTACAAATACATTTTTTTGTTTGTTTTGTTTTTTGAGACAGGGTTTCATTGTGTAGCCCTGGCTGTCCTGGAACTCACTCTGTAGATCAGGCTGGCCTCGAACTCAAGAGATCTGCCTGCCTCTGCCTCTCAAATACTAGGATCAAAGGCAAGCACCACCACTGCCGGCATACAAATGAATTTTGAGTGTCTGCCCT